CCTCCTCTTCCTCATACTAAACAGCCCCAGCTCCTTCAGCCGCTCTTCATATGATTTGTCTTCCAGGCCCTTCACTAGTTTCATTGCCCTCCTCTGCACTCGCTCCAGCACCTCGATATCTCTCTTGTATTAAGGTGCCCAAAACTGGACACAATACTCGAGGTGTGGCCTCACCAGTGCTGAGTACAGGGGCACAATCACCTCCCTACTTCTGCTGGTCACACTATTTCTAATACAAGCCAGGATGCCGTTGGCTTTCTTGGCCACCTGGGCACACGCCGGCTCATATTCAGCCGTTTGTCAACTAGAACCCCCAGGTCTCTTTCCTCCAGGCAGCTCCAGCCACACTTCCCCCAGCCTGTAGTGCTGCAGGGGGTTGTTGTGGCCCAAGTGCAGGACCTTGCACTTGCCCTTCTTGAAACAATCTGTACAAATAACTCACAATGCCATTTTCCATTACAGCTGGAGACAACAGCACACCCTCCACAGCACACGTTCACTTAACATCTGTGTTTGCACCATTTGGCTGTAGTACACTTTTGGAGTTCCTTTTCTCCTAATTGGAGATTTCACCGTGACTTTGGCTACCTCACCCGTTACTGTAATATGGACAGACTTATCTAGGTCAGGAAACTAAACCTGCTGCAGCCCAGTTTTGATCTAAACTGGAGCTGACGTTTCTCTAGGGTACCTAGGGTAAGGCAGAAGGATCAGCTGGAAGTCACTTTTCTTTTCTAGACGCGCCAGGAAATTTAAATCTGTGTGAACGGCAGAGTCAGCCAAACTATGCAGAATTAGTAATCTGCTCTCTAAAAAAACCTACTGTTTTTACAACCTGTGAGTCCCTTGACCAGCTGAGTCTGCTTGAAGGACGCCGGCTCTGAGTTCAGAGTTCAGAAAAGTCTCTTTTTTGTGAACTCTACTTCTGCTTGAAGGACGCCGGCTCTGAGTTCAGAGTTCAGAAAAGTCTCTTTTTTGTGAAATTTACCTCCTGGCACATCCGCTGTTAGAATTAGCTGTGTTAAGCAGGGGACACGGAGGGGACAGGAGGGTTGCAGAGCAGCACAGAGACTCCAAATCCCATCCCCACACCAACAACCAAGCAGAAAAGGTGACGATTAAACATCTGGCTTTGGATAAAACTTTGAAGCTCTGAGGCTGAACAACAAGTGCTTGTTAGCGGAGGAAATGCCAGATTTGTAGAGTTAAGCTCTTTTTTGATGTTCTAATGCTGATCCAATTTTTTATGTGGCAGCACCAGCATGCACAGAGGGATTGGCCATTTTTCTGCAAAGTAGCCACCTATTGGTGTCCAGGCAGTTCTACCCAAAGGAGAGCAAGGGAAGAGAAGGGAAGGATCTACTATCGCTGGAAATAACTCTTGGTAGGGCAACAGGAGCTGCAGATAAGCATATTGGTGAAACAATTGAGAAAAAAAAAGGTGTTTCCCCCTTTCTCTCACCCTCCCACAGCCACGCTTGTGTTTTTGGGGTGGGTTCTTGAATGGGATGGAAGTTACCCCTCACCAAGGTTGGTCATTTGAATGTTAAATCACTTCATGCTACACTGCTTGGGTATTTCTGCCGTGAAAAAAAAAAAAAAAAGGTCTGGCAGATGTCCACGTGGCTTGCTATTTTTGCCCTTGCCGAGGATTAAAGTTGTGCACCCACTGCAATCTTCAGAACAGAAGATTTGGTGTGAGCTGAGGGGTTTCTGCAGCGCTGGCTGCAGGTGCGGGGTGAAAAGTGAAAGAAAAAGAAGAAAAAAAAAGACATAATCATTCTGCTACTTTTCTGTGGGTCTAGAAATTGGCAATCACAACTTCCTCCCAGGCACGTATATTCCAGTAGGGGCTAGTTATTTGAATGCTTGCCCCGGAGCTGCTGTAAGCGGCTGCGTGGCGCTGGAGAAGGGGAAGGAGGCACGAGTCTGAGAGCTGACTGTACCCATCACTTTGGTCTGAGAGCTTTTGCTCTTGCTCTGAGCTGGAGCCACAGCCCATCTTTAATCGGGGTCAGGAAAGCCCCAAAAGGAAAAAAAAAATCCTCTAAAAATGCAGCAACAAAACAGGGACTTTCTTATCTTATTTTCTTAGACTTTTTACGACTGCAGTGCTGCTACGGCAGCTGATCCAGTCCCAATTTAATATTAGAGGCTCCCATTTAGCAGAAACAACTCTCTATCATCTGCTGAGATTGGAAACACGATAACAGACATACAGTTGCCCTGGATCTCGATGAGAGCTAGCTGAAAATCTTCCAGCTGAATAGTTTTATGAGAAAATTCTGGTTAGAATCTGGAATTAATGGAAAATTATCTATTTTGTCAAAAAAAAAAAAAAAGAGAAATTATCTGAGCATTTTGTTTTATTAAGTCCGAATAGTTTGCTTTTGGTTTGGACTTTTTGGCTATTTTTATATTACATGGAAAACAAAATATACCAAAGGCATAACAATGAAAAAAAAGGGGGTATCTCAAAAGGGCTTATTTTGAGTAACACTCTAGCACTCGGGCTTTCGGCTTCATTTGGAATGAAAAGTCATTTTGAAACCTCAGCCTGAGCGAGGGGACAAAAATAAGATTTTTCACGCTTTGAGAAAAAAAAAAAGGTGCAGATACAGATTTTACTCAAACACCGCAGGCGTGTTACTGACCCTTCCTGGGGACCACCTCAGGCACCCTGTGAAGTATCGGGATCCTGTGACCCCCTTTAATAACCAAGAGAGGGATGGGAGTGAATGTGGCAAGGTTTTTTTTCCCAGTGCACAGGTAAGTGTGGTGAGGAGGAGGGACCTACAGTGCGGTGAAGAAATTAGGGAATTGGTGGGGACCACCTCAGGCACCCTGTGAAGTATCAGGATCCTGTGACCCGCTCTAAAAATCAAGAGAGAGGATGGGAGTGAACGTGGCGAGGTTTTTTTTCCCAGTGCACGGGTAAGTGTGGTGAGGAGGAGGGACCTACGGTGTGGTGAGGAAATTAGGGAATTGGTCAGGCATTGGAACAGGCTGCCCAGGGAGGTGGTGGAGTCACCATCCCTGGATGTGTTTAAGAACCGTTTAGATGTGGTGTTGGGGGATATGGTGTAGGGGAGAAATTTAGAGTAGGGTAGATGGTTGGACTCGATGATCCCGAGGGTCTCTTCCAGCCTAGATGATTCTGTGATTCTGTGAATCAGGAATCCAAAGAGGAGGGTATTTAGAAATGAGGATGGGGCTGGGAAGCGGGATAGGGCACGGGAAAAGGCAAGGCCAAGGAGTGAAATATTTCAGCAAAGTCCTAGAGAAGAGACAGGGCTTGCAGTGAGGAGAAACGCTGTGGCAAAAGAGTCTGAGAGCTTGTAAAAAGCACTTTGACTTGCACAAGAGAAAGAGGCCATCACTTCTGCAAGTCAGAACGGCAAGAAAAGGATCGTGGAAGGGGTTGTGCATGGGCCTGGTGGATTTAAGGAGGGAAAACTGGCTCTCAAGACAAGAAACTCTCAGGTCTGTGTGTCAAAGTGTCCAAACTTGGAAAACATTTTCTCGGAGCGTGAAAAAAGTTCTGTTCTTTGAATGTTGGGGTGGAGGGAAACCTCACCTGCACCGGGGTGAGCTGAGGACAGGAAACCACCACCGGGACCAAGGGACAAGCATCCTCCTCTGGCTCTCTCAGAGTCATCTCTTTGAGTCGAGGTTACAGTCCATTGCTGGGTGGTTTTGTCCCACATTCCCTGGGGAATGGGATCCGGGCTCCTGGACTAGCACATGGATGCATTGCTGTGATCTGTTTGCTTTGCCTGCCCGCCTGCCCCTCTGTCGTTGTTATTAGGGCTTTATGGATAAGAACTAAGCCTGGGATTCCCTCAGATGACCCGTGTTGATAAGCTGTGATGTTCATTTTGACTGGCTCTGCACAGACAGACTGTGTTTTTTGAAGTTTGGAAGCTTGCACCCACTGCAATCTTCAGAACAGAAGATTTGGTGTGAGCTGAGGGGTTTCTGCAGCGCTGGCTGCAGGTGCGGGGTGAAAAGTGAAAGAAAAAGAAGAAAAAAAAAGACATAATCATTCTGCTACTTTTCTGTGGGTCTAGAAATTGGCAATCACAACTTCCTCCCAGGCACGTATATTCCAGTAGGGGCTAGTTATTTGAATGCTTGCCCCGGAGCTGCTGTAAGCGGCTGCGTGGCGCTGGAGAAGGGGAAGGAGGCACGAGTCTGAGAGCTGACTGTACCCATCACTTTGGTCTGAGAGCTTTTGCTCTTGCTCTGAGCTGGAGCCACAGCCCATCTTTAATCGGGGTCAGGAAAGCCCCAAAAGGAAAAAAAAAAATCCTCTAAAAATACAGCAACAAAACAGGGACTTTCTTATCTTATTTTCTTAGACTTTTTACGACTGCAGTGCTGCTACGGCAGCTGATCCAGTCCCAATTTAATATTAGAGGCTCCCATTTAGCAGAAACAACTCTCTATCATCTGCTGAGATTGGAAACACGATAACAGACATACAGTTGCCCTGGATCTCGATGAGAGCTAGCTGAAAATCTTCCAGCTGAATAGTTTTATGAGAAAATTCTGGTTAGAATCTGGAATTAATGGAAAATTATCTATTTTGTCAAAAAAAAAAAAAAAGAGAAATTATCTGAGCATTTTGTTTTATTAAGTCCGAATAGTTTGCTTTTGGTTTGGACTTTTTGGCTATTTTTATATTACATGGAAAACAAAATATACCAAAGGCATAACAATGAAAAAAAAGGGGGTATCTCAAAAGGGCTTATTTTGAGTAACACTCTAGCACTCGGGCTTTCGGCTTCATTTGGAATGAAAAGTCATTTTGAAACCTCAGCCTGAGCGAGGGGACAAAAATAAGATTTTTCACGCTTTGAGAAAAAAAAAAAGGTGCAGATACAGATTTTACTCAAACACCGCAGGCGTGTTACTGACCCTTCCTGGGGACCACCTCAGGCACCCTGTGAAGTATCAGGATCCTGTGACCCGCTCTAAAAATCAAGAGAGAGGATGGGAGTGAACGTGGCGAGGTTTTTTTTCCCAGTGCACGGGTAAGTGTGGTGAGGAGGAGGGACCTACGGTGTGGTGAGGAAATTAGGGAATTGGTCAGGCATTGGAACAGGCTGCCCAGGGAGGTGGTGGAGTCACCATCCCTGGATGTGTTTAAGAACCGTTTAGATGTGGTGTTGGGGGATATGGTGTAGGGGAGAAATTTAGAGTAGGGTAGATGGTTGGACTTGATGATCCCAAGGGTCTCTTCCAGCCTAGATGATTCTGTGATTCTGTGAATCAGGAATCCAAAGAGGAGGGTATTTAGAAATGAGGATGGGGCTGGGAAGTGGGATAGGGCACGGGAAAAGGCAAGGCCACGGAGTGAAATATTTCAGCAAAGTCCTAGAGAAGAGACAGGGCTTGCAGTGAGGAGAAACGCCGTGGCAAAAGAGTTTGAAAGCTTGTAAAAAGCACTTTGATACACACAAGAGAAAGAGGCCGTCACTTCTGCAAGCCAGAACGACAAAAGGATCGTGGAAGGGGTTGTGCATGGGCCTGGTGGATTTAAGGAGGGAAAACTGGCTCTCAAGACAAGAAACTCTCAGGTCTGTGTGTCAAAGTGTCCAAACTTGGAAAACATTTTCTCGGAGCGTGAAAAAAGTTCTGTTCTTTGAATGTTGGGGTGGAGGGAAACCTCACCTGCACCGGGGTGAGCTGAGGACAGGCAACCACCACCGGGACCAAGGGACAAGCATCCTCCTCTGGCTCTCTCAGAGTCATCTCTTTGAGTCGAGGTTACAGTCCATTGCTGGGTGGTTTTGTCCCACATTCCCTGGGGAATGGGATCCGGGCTCCTGGACTAGCACATGGATGCATTGCTGTGATCTGTTTGCTTTGCCTGCCCGCCTGCCCCTCTGTCGTTGTTATTAGGGCTTTATGGATAAGAACTAAGCCTGGGATTCCCTCAGATGACCCGTGTTGATAAGCTGTGATGTTCATTTTGACTGGCTCTGCACAGACAGACTGTGTTTTTTGAAGTTTGGAAGCTCTCCTGTAAAGAAACTGTAGCTTCACAGAAACTCCCCTTTCCCTCCCCACTCCCTGCATCAGACACTGCTGTGCTTTGCCCTGAGAGATGCAATTCCCATTTATCCACAGCATTTTTTTAAGGATAAATGTAGCCCCGCTAGAATTAAAGAAAAAAAAAAACAAAAGAGAGGGAGAGAAAGAGATATTTTTTTTCTTACACTCTTTGCTAGGATGTGCTGTGTACTTTTGGCTCGTCGTCGGGCAGGACTACATGCTGCGAAAAGAAGAACAGGAACATGGTCAGTGTGCAGTGAAGGCAGAGAAGATGAGGTTACATTTGCCTCTAGAAGCCCTCTGTGAGAATACATTGGGGGCACGGTGGGGAAGGGGGGAAGAAGAATGGGTTTAAGGCGGATTCCAGCTGAAACAAGCCAAAAGAAAGTCCATTGTAATGTCATCTCGGAGACCATGCCCTAGCTACACAATACAGATACCTGTGGGCAACAGCCTTCCACAAGTTTCTAGCACCTCTGCCATGGACTTCCAGGAGGAAGCCTCCTTCTCCTTCCTGATTTTTGGTTTGGCCTCCCACCTCCCAATATTTCAGAAGGAAATGAGCTTCTCTTTCCACCCAGTCACCTTCAAACATGACTAGTTTGTTCATTATCTTTGGAGAGGCCATACATTTTATCTAGATAGGGACTTTTTGGATAAGCTCAAACTGCTTCATGACATCATTTCACTTTTACTGCACGAAGTCCAAAGCACAACATTTGCACTAAGCCTAGTCTTTTCTTTTTCAATTCTCAAAATGATCCAGTGAGTTCTTTAACTTGGGAAACATGACTAGTTTGTTCATTATCTTTGGAGAGGCCATACATTTTATCTAGATAGGGACTTTTTGGATAAGCTCAAACTGCTTCATGACATCATTTCACTTTTACTGCACGAAGTCCAAAGCACAACATTTGCACTAAGCCTAGTCTTTTCTTTTTCAATACTCAAAATGATCCAGTCGGTTCTTTAACTTGGGGAATTGTGCTTAAAGTCTCGTCTCTCAACTTTTTTTCTTAAACCCATGAAGACACCAAAATCACAGGCAAACCAGAATCACCAGCTGCTGGACACACAAGATACCAGGACCATAAGCCAAGCTTTTGATTCGACTGAAGTGATTGGTTTCGGGTGGGGCTTTTTTTGGACAAAGTGAAGATTCTTTGAACACTTCTTGTTTCAGTTGGACTTGAAACTGGCCTGAAAAACTCGGTGATACTCCCACCTCTCTCATCATATCTTACCCTTTGCCCTTTAAAATTACTACCCTCCTCTGTCTTCAGGATACAAGAGTCGTGACTACAGGATTTAGCAGCCAGTGACAGAAACAGGCCTGCAGAAACCTGCCAAATTTGGAGAATTAACTCCAATTCTAAAGGCTGACCCTTCAGAAGGACAAGGCATGTGAATGAGGCTCTGTGTATAGTCCAAAGGCTTTGAAGAGTCAGGAAGGTTTGTTATGGGATGATGGGTGACTCTTACTCTCCAGGTGAGCTCTCCTTCACGTTTTTGGCATATGTTCACACAATCACAGAATTGTAGGGGTTGGAAAGGATCTTAAGAGGTCATCTAGTCCAACCCCCTGCCAAAGCAGGATCACCCAGAGCAGGCTGTACAGGAACACATCCAGACAGGTTTGGAATATCTCCAGAGAAGGAGATTCCACCACCTCTCTGGGCAGCCTCTTCCAGGGCTCTGCCACCCTCACAGGAAAGAATTCAACTCCAGGAGTTGCAGTGCTTGTCGTTGCTATCCATTAATGGTTGCAGAGAGCTTTGAAGCTGTGGAAGCAGCTGGAGTTCACTCAAGGCTGCTAATTTCCATGGCCAAAATCCTTTCCTCTGACGGCAGGAACCACAAGTGACCAGGCTTTCCAGGGCTCTGGAAACAAGCAGAGCTGGTGGTGGGACCACAGTTACTCTTCCTAGATGGCTTGTGTTTGTCCAAAAGCCACCTCTCATTTCCCCAGTGAGGATGTAATTGCTGAGCACTTGGACGTCGCTGCCCAGAAATGAAGTTTTTTGGCCAATGCTCTGCCCACAGTGACCCAGGCCAGTAACAGGGGAGGGGATGAGTCTTGCCCAGGGTCCTGGCCAGCGACCCCTTGCAGCACATGGTGCTTCCACCCACACTGTACACCACAAGTAAGTTATCTGCCCAGATAGAGCCCGAGAGTGTGCTAAGCTGTCACTTTGATTATGGTCTGCTTTGCACAGCATGATCTCCTCAGGGATCCCCACTGCCTTCTCCTTCCTGCAGGACATGTTTTACATTTTAAACCCTGGTGAGTGTGGGATGAAAACCAGACAAACATAATGAAGGTGGTTTCTGTTGTGGGTTTTGTTTGGTTTTTTTTCCTAGGGATGGGTCATAACTTGCTTTTGAAGCTGCTGCAATTACCCTTACCTCTGGAATTTCATTGTGTGAGGACTAAACTAATTGCTCACGTGCAAAACACTGAAGGGCAGGGAAGTTCAGTGATGCCAGGAATCATCCTCATGTCTCTCTGGTATTGTGTGTATTTTACTAGACAGTGTGAGGAGCCCAGTTCCTATAGATTTTTACCAGAAGCAAGTACTGTTGTGCTGTTATTGGTATACCCAGGCTGGTATACACAAAGAACAACACATAAACGTGCCCAAGTGATAAATTTCTGTATTTTCAGAGTACCACTAATCCAAAATCCAGCTCCCTGCCTGTCGTCTGCCAGAGGCGAGGGGCTTACAGGGGCTGGAGAAAGGCAAAGCATGAAAGGGAAGCCCCAGCACCAGCAAACAAACACACGCTGGCTCGAAAAGCCACCGAAAGCAGAGCAGCTCAGGGAGGTAGAGCCAGAAGTGACCCCCCCTCCTTCTGCAGGAATACAATGGCAGCAGCACAAACAGCGGGGCTCCCCCCACAAACAGGATTTTTCTGCAGGGAGCTGGAGCAGGAGGAACAAATCTTTGCCGGTGATGCTTCTGGATTTGCCCGAAAAAAGGCTGTTTGTACGTACAGCCCAGCTTTCGGGCAGCAATAATGATTACAGTGAGGGTTCAATTTGTCATTTCCACTTAGATTCTGAAATGAAGCAGCTGAGAGCTCGTGCCCGCAGCTTGCAGGAAAAGATCTGATCTGGCCCCACAATTTGTTTTCCCTGCTTTTACCTGCTTTCTCTTTCTTGTTGCTGAAATACGCAACTATTGAGTTTAAACTAATTTGCTCAATCAAACGCAGACTGGGCTTTGTCCGGTCCTTAGTCTTCATTACAAGCAATTAATGTTAATCACGCATTCATTTCCAGGGCATGGCTTTGGAAACGTTCCACTTATTGAGCCGGCAGACTTAAAAAATCCAACATTCACCCAAGTCCAACCCGCTTCGCCCGAGCTGCTCGCTGCTGGCGGAAACTTCATTTTTCTTTTCTATTTTACCCCCAGAACAGCCGCGCCGTAGTTGCAAGCTGTCATCACTTTTAGCAGTTACCTCATAGGTAACATCCCCACCGAATTCCAGACCTCCCAATTTTGCCACCACGGGGGTTTTAACCAGCCACAGCACCCAGGCACCTGCCGGGGATTAGCTCCATGGCCGGGGTGACCAGCCCGGCTCCAGCCGCGGCAGAAGGGACGAGCTGCCGCCTCCGGAGATTTCCTGGATTGCTGAACATCCCCCCCTTCTCCATCCAAACCCCAACCCTTACAGCTCTGAAGGTGTACTCACATTTGGCCGAAATCACGGTGGTGAAAACTTCCAGATTCTCGTCGCTGCAGCTGTAAATCTGGTGCATTTTCCACCCCTCTCTCCCTCCCGACTGCCTTTCAGCTTCATGCAACCGCTCTGAACTTCTGGTAAATAGGTTTCACTAATCCAATCTGGCTCTGTGATCATTGTCCAGATCTACAAAGGACAGACTGATGCTGTGATCTCATCTCATTCCATATTCTTCATTGCAACATTTTCTGCTCCCATCTGCCTTTCTATGAATGCTATTAATGCAAAGACTTCATTTAGCTGTTACTTTAAGCCTCTGCTCAGATAGCAGCATTTTATTTTACGTCTCCTTTTACCAGTTTGGAGAATCCCCTGTGATGAATGGCTAAGAATTAGAGTCTGTTCTGTGTGGCCAATGTATAGGTAAATAAATGTTTACAGAAGTCCTGCAAGGGTTTTTAAAATAAGTTGGCTTAATACTTTGTGTACTTTAATGCATTTATCATAAAAGTCTGCTCCGCCTCTACAATGAGGAGCTGATTCTAAGGGTATTAAGAAAAGCATTTTGTGCTTTTCTTTTAAGTCCATAAACTACTACCTGCATCCCGGGCATTTCAGTGTAAAATCTCAAATGCAGATGAGTAAAGAAGGGCACGTCAGGTGTAACATACACAGGTCTATACATCCCCACGATCCAGGGGCTGCAGAGGGAGGGCAGGAGGCTCAGTCATGGATGGGTTCCTACATGACTTGGTGGTTCTGGGGCCTAATTCTGCATTTATACACGTCACTAAAGGGTCTTCTTGCCAAAGCTTTTCATTCCTTAAGGCTCCCATCAGAAATTGTTCCTTGCCACGTCTATGAAAACCAGCCCCCTCAACTTCTGGTGACTTCCTGCTGCCATGGACACCTAAGCTCAACAATTTTGGCTTGCAGGCTCCAGCAACTGACGTAGCAGAAGCACTTTCAAGTGTGAATAATGATATTAAATTATATCACTCTAAAGAACAGCCTTCATTACTAGCTCGTGTGTGTAATTAACACAAAAAGTAGTGCTGTCTTCTCCTATAGAGGTCTGCCACCAGCAGTCCCAGATGGAAAGTGCCAGCAAACATGGGCCATCACTGCCACATCAATATAATGCTGCTTCTTTGAAATAACAAATATTGGTCAAATACACATCCCCAACATGGAAGCATTTTGGCTGAGTGGAAGGTGTCACTGTTTGAAGACAGAAACGAGGGAAGGGAAGGGAAGGGAAGGGAAGGGAAGGGAGAAGAAGCTGGTATCACTTGTCACCTCCCACTGCAGCCTCCTGCTGTCCAGGGGCAGCAAAGCCACTTCTGGGGCTGGCCGGGCCGGGGGGACATTGTCCCAGGAAAACCGCGCCGTGTTTGAAAGGGGCGTCGGGACGGCGATATAATCGAGCAAAAAAAGTTCAATTAGCTTTTGATTTATTGCGCCACATGTTCGGCTCGTATGACTGATGCCATTAACATCAGGCCGGGCTGGCGCCTTCATCTGTCCCCTGCCCGGCTGCCTCTGAAGGCACAGGCACACACTCAACAGATGGGGAGCCGCACGGGGGCACGGAGGCAATTGTTTATCCCCCCATTGTCCCCGTGTCAAGCAATCACACCAAATCCATTACCCGCCGAGAAAAAGATCAGCGCACCGGCCATTCAGCGCTGAATGGAGCAGAGGCGGTTACGCGGGGAGGCTTTTAAAGCTTTCAAAAGGATGAAAAAAATAAAAAAAAAATAAAATTGAAGAGCAACACTGAATAGTTCACCCCCCCCCAAAAAAAAAAATAGAAAAAGCTAACCCAGCCTTTATTTCACCTTTGGATATTCAGACTCTAAGAGACACTTTTGGATCCGAGTCATTGTTTTCCTAGTTACAGGTATAACATAAAGGTATTTTTAAATCACAGCTGGGGTTTAACGTCGGAGTGTTTCATCGCATTGAGGATGTGGAAGCTGAAATGAGACTCAAGAGCTGCCCACCAGCTGGCATTCATGGCTTCATAGGTTAGGTTTTGAGCAGGTCGGCTTTGAACACCCATCGTTACAAGGGATGTGATGCTCTGGGGATGAGTCACTCCGTGCAGGCAGATGACAAAAAGCTCCCACATCACTTCCAGACAGAAAAATAGGGCTGGGAAGGGCCAATATAATGTGTCTCACCTGGGATGGATTTTGCCCTGTTCACAAAAGGGAGTTTTTCCACTTCGTTCTGCCCAGATCTTACAGGGTAGTCAAGCACTATGAATCATAGAATGGTTTGGGTTAAAAGGGACCTTAAAGCTCACCCAGTTCCAACCCCCTGCCCTGGGCAGGGACACCTCTCACCAGACCAGGTTGCTCCAAGCCCCATCCAGCCTGGCCTTGAACCCCTCCAGGGATGGGGCAGCCACAGCTTCTCTGGGCAACCTCTTCCAGTGCCTCACCACCCTCACAGCAAAGAATTTCTTCCCGAGATCTCATCTCAGTCTCCCCTCTTTCAGTTTAAAACCCTTCCCCCTTGTGCAATTGCTCCACTCCCTGATCCAGAGTCCCTCCCCATCTCTCCTGGAGCCCCTTTAGGGACTGGAAGGGTAACCAAATGAATGCCCCAGGGTTTTGCAGGAAATCTTCATGTGGCTGCAAGAGAAGGACTGCACATATTGGGCTACTTTTTATCTGTGAGCTATTTTGGACAAATGTCTCGGTTTATCTAGCTACAAAACAGATGTGATAATACCTGCCAAAGAAGTGCACCATAAAGCACAGAATCTGCTGAAGAACAGCAGGACAGTAATTTTAGACTTGAGGAAGATACTCTCCACGATGTCCAACCGAGGCACTGCTGGCAGAGCCACATCAGACAATCTCACATAGTCTCTCCTCTGGCTCCCTACTGACCCAGCAAGAGTCCAGTCTGTGGTGGGAGAAGGAAACCAAACATTTCTTGATCCTATGAATCATTTCTTTTTGTTATCTAATTTCCATAAAATATCTAGAAACTAGGCTTAAATATTTCCTCACTGCTGAACACAATTAATAAGCTATAAATACAATTCACATGGTGCCACAGCAGCCATGAGAAGACCCAAAAAACCTTTTGCACCAGGATATATCTTTGACTGAAGGCTCCCAAGCCAACATGCGGAACCCAAACTCCTCACTGCGGGCTGTGATCAGGCTGTTGTCAATAAAGGATCAAAGCATTTGCTGGTGGGAGAACTTGGCAACCAAAGGTGAATGGGGACAACTGAAGAGGAGGAGGAGGAGGACAGCTCAGGACACCAGAACAAACATATGGTGTCTGACAAAACATCCATCTAACCTGAACTGCAGGTCTGGGACAGGGAAGGTTTTTGATTATTAGGAACATGGGGAGAAAGGAGGGAGAGGTGGAAACGGGGAAAAGACGTATGCTGAGGCTGAGGTCAAAAAAACTGGTGAAAACAGCATAAGGGGCAGTGAATCTCCTCAACACGGCAGAAAATCCCATAACTGGGCAAAACGTCCCTGAGGGGAGGCAGCGAGGGAGCTTTTCCCACGGGCTGGATCTGTCCACATTTGGAAGAAACAAGTGTACATTCTTGTCCTGTTTACCAAGTACACCAGAGTGGGTAAGTTCAAAAGGAATCCAATAAAACCAAAATTGAATTACGGTTACAAAAAATGTAATTAAAACCTTGAGTGATTTAAGAGAAGTACCAGAAACTTCATTTATCCTGGGCCTTTGTAAACGAATGTTTTTCCAGAGGAGTGTTTTTCAAGTGAAGTCAGTGGGAAGCATCCCAGTACTCTCAACGTAGGCAAGGGATATTGCCAAGGGGTTCCCCAGCCTGCAGAGGACAGAGCTCTTCCCAAGGAAAGTCTCTGGCTTCTCCCCGGATCCCTCTTCCCTTGTTGCGTAAGAGGCGAATCTAATCTGCACTGAGCCACTTGAGCCTATTTCTTACCCTCAGCTGGGCAATATGATAAGGATAAACCCCAGGTATTTTTGGAATAGGATCATGAACTCAGAGGTATGGGCAATTAGCCATTTAAAAATAAGATGGGATAAAACTGCACGTGCAGGCTGCAGACATTTACTCCGAAACGCTTCTGCGTGACGCGGTGCAAGTGGTGTGTTTTGGAGAGAGAATTGCTTTTTCTCATTTTAGGGCCACAGGATTGCAACTCCCAACGACTGAAAAGTAAAACCAACAGCAAGTGCAAAATATAAAGCGAGCTTGTCATACCTAGTCTGTTATTTTCCTCTAAATGAAAGGAAGAGAGAGACAGATACGCTATCAACAACTTCACCTCATTCTTCTCTGACTGCAAAACTACCTCCAAATTCAAGTAGCACTGCACGGCTCAAAGGTCTGTGAATAAATGAAGAATTTTCAAAAGTACCATTTCCATTTGCATCTGGCTAGAAGATTTTACCCAAATGGAAATAAGACGACCGAGGCGTATAAAAAAATTTGGAACTTGACATTCACTCTAGGGGACCAGGAGAGAGGGATGCAATTGTTGTGCAGTTTGAAAGGGCTCGTGCACAGATTTCTCTGCTCATCAGGAAAGGAAATACCTGGAAGCCAGGCTGAAAGCATCCCCCTGCCAGTTACAGGAAGATACTGCAGGGCCTGGAAGCCAGGCTGAAAGCATCCCCCTGCTAGTTACAGAAAGATACTCCAGGGTTCTGAGGGGAAAAAAAACAAACAAAACAGAACAGGCCTGGTTGGCTCCTCTTAAAAAAGTTACATATAGATAATTGGACGTTCACAAATTTGCCCTAAGCTTGTAAAACACACTTGAGTAAGTCTCCACAATGCTTAGTGGGCAGCACAATGCCCACGGAGCTTGTGCCAGCAGCAGGGATTGCACCCAGCCAGGATGAAAGCTCGGGCCAGGCTGAGCACGTGGAGGCTTAACAAGCTTCCGTGCACTGGTCATGGACTGGTAATCCACCAGCAGCCTTAAAAATGTCAACAAAAGAGAGATATATCCAAATTGGGCCGTGACAACAACAGCTTATTAAGACGCTGAACTGGATTTATTCATTTTTCAAGCTAATTGATCAGTGAGGTCTTTATTCCCCTGACAAAGCACAATAATTTTGGGATGGGGCTTTTTCACTCCTCATTCTTT